TATTAAACACTTTTAGAGTGATTTTATTATAAATTATGACCTACACTTTCCAGGCCGTGCAGCTCACACCGTCCTTGGAAAAGAAGCCTGGCTGACAGTCTTCACACACTGTGTCACTTCTGCTGGTCCCTGAAAGAAACACATTCGTTGTTACACAAAAAACTTATAATTTATCAGCTCATCTAAATGGTCTTAGACTTTAATTTTTCTTACCAGGTTCTTTTATCCTCTGACCAGCTGCACACTGTGAATGTTTCTCTGTCAAACTACATCTGTTACTGTCTGTCAAACCTTTGCAGTAATATCCATTTAAAATGTCACACACTGTGTCAGTTGTTGCTGTACAGTTCTGCTTGACAAAGAGACCATGACCTTAAAAAAATGAAAAACAAAACAAAAAACATTAGTGTAAAATCATGTTTCTGTAATTTACTTTTAAATGAAAGCTTTATTTTTTTCAATCTAAATTTGACAAAGGATTTCTCATCCGACTGTACCTGTGTCACAGGCAGTGCAGGGGAAACAGTTATACAGGCTGTTGGGTTGGTTCATAAAGGTCCCCATCTCACAAGGACGGCACCAAGTTCCTGAATATGCTGTGCAGTCTCCCTGAACAACTGTACCTGTTCAACAGAACACAACATTTATGTCAGACTTTTAGCATTTAACACAGAGGGAATCTACAGTTGTGCAGTTGTAGTGTTGGGTGTTATATACAGTAAGTCAGGCAGCTACAACATTACAGATCTACAAATTCAATGTGGCCCACTCAAATAATGCGTGGTGACTTCTATAACTTTGAGTATATAATTTGGCATTTTCTAATGCCTTCGGCGTTCTTGTGGTACGCAGCGGGTTATGACTGGAATCCAGTGCAATGACGCTCCCGCGGTAATAGACGTTCCAGCCCTGTATTCCAGTCCTAAACCTAACCTTATCCCTAGCCCTAACCATAACCCTATTCCTGATCTTAACCAGGACTATAATTATGTTAAATAGCGTGTTTCTAAGCGATTTGAAGAAAAAGAGCGAAGATGTGGAGTTTAGACGGTTCTCATATTTCCTCTTTTTTCCGAGGTCGTCATTTGTGGTGGATAGCCGAAAACGTAATATGTTGACGATTTGTCACCTAGCGTAAAATGTTACGCTTTGGGAGTGAGAACGGATAAAACATACGAGGGGAACGATAGCGAAGATTCTCCAGATCGATTACTCTTGCTGTCCTGTGAACAGCATCGACGTGGTGCCGTTTTCGCGATCGCCTCGTGTGTGAGAACGCCAGGACGGACTGTATTTGGTGTTTTTTTGATGGTTTGTCGGCTCCTTAAATGTAAGTCTACCCCTTGGATGATCCTTAAAAATGCATCCACCTTTATGCCTAAGGACAATAAATGTCCATTCCTCAAAAAGTGCTATAAAAACTTTATATATTCATATTTTTTTTCACTTTAAATTGGTCAGTCTTTTAAAACTACTTCTCCCTGAAATATTCATATAAAGTTTTAATTATATTTTCGTTGTTTTAACTTTTTAAATCCCAGTTGTATTACACGAGCAC